GCCCAGGAAGTTGAAGCTTCAGCTGCCCAGGGGGCCCCAGGGCCGACCCCAGGAGCCAGGGCCCGGAAACAGGTCAAGACAGTGAGGTTCCAGACCCCTGGGCGTTTCTCGTGGTTTCGAAAGCGAAGGAGAGCCTTTTGGCACACTGCCCGGTTGCCAACGCTGCCCAAGAGAGTCCCCAGGGCAGGCGAGGCCAGGAGCCTCAGGGTGCTCAGGGCGGAGGCCAGGGCCCAAGTGGAGCAGGAAGAGGAGGGAGAGCGGGAAGACCAGCTGTGAGGCGAAGGCCTGGTCTGCAGAGAGACACCCCGGTGTCCCCTGCCTGGAAGGAGGTGCTTTCTGCTTCCCTGCTTGAAAATGGGGGCTGAGACAGGGGCAGGGCGTGCCTCCCACATCGCCCGCCGCCCAACAGCCCTCTTTTCTTGTCCAAATTTTATCTCTTATGCATTGATTTTTTTTAAAAAAAATACTGACTCCTTGTAGCGATCCAAAAACTGTAAATAAATCGATACAATGGGGTTGCATCCCCTATGATTTTAACTTCCTCAAATGCAACTCTAGGTGCTCGGCTTGAAAAAGGGAGAGAGGCAGAGCAGGGGAGAAATTCCTTTTCTTGTCTCCCTTTTGCCTGCACATTTAACCTTGATTGCCTCCTTGAACTTAAAAAGAGGGCTCAGGCCAACATGCAAATAAAATGTTTACAAATTGATTTCTTGGCTTTGAACTTGGCAACTGACAATGCTCCAGGGTGACTTGGCCCTTGCTGTGGATGATGGGGAGCCCAGTGTTCATGTTGTCACTTTGCTTGCCATCCTGGCGCCCCGGGCTCTGCTGGTTTGGAGGGTGTGGGGCCCACGGTTTGCACGCTTCACCCTGATCTTGGTTACGAGGTATAGAAAAATCGTTTGGGAAACGCATTCAGACTCAGATTCTGAGACTCTTGGCACCAGAGATGTGGCTTTGCTAGAGTAGTCTGTGCATCCCTGGAATCTGTTTGGATCGAGCCGCACAAACATCTGTGCAGCTTGGCCGCTGGACAGGTTGAAAAATCATTGCGACAGGAGCAGACCCCAAAGGGAGGTTGTGCCATAGTATGCCATGATTTCTTGTAACCGGGGAGAAATGGGGTTGCTAAGGGCCTGTGAAGGCTGGGAGGAAGCTGGGGGTGTCTTCTGCATTGCCTTGTGCCCCCTTCACCCCCAGCAGTGAAAAGCAGACAGCAATGAGCACACCCCAACCCTATCGAGGGCAGGAGAAAAGGGACTTCAGGGAGGGGAGTGGTCCAAAGGCCAGTTCTGTCTTCCTGCCTGGCTGCACGCCTGGCCTGAGTTTCTTTTTTTTTCCCTTGGAACGAAAGAATTCCAAACTGCCACCCCCCTTTCTTTTTCTCCCTCCCTGTTGTTTTCTGCTTGGAGGGGTTACTGATCGCCCTGTGGCCTTGCTCTTGGGGGTAGACACTCGGCTATTTAGTTCGTGGCTCACAGCCTGGCATAAAGAGGCCCCAGTGGAGTTTGGAAGAAGGATTAGGTGTGGACCCCACCTGGTGGGTGGACTCGGCAGGTGTCAGGAGGAAGAGCCAGGCTGGCGGGGGAGGTTTCTGGAGCGACTGAGGCATGCTTTCCCTACCAAGCTGCTGGTGACAGTGAGGACTGTCCTTTGCTCCTGCCCACATTGGACGACAGAGGACTCATGGCCTCAGGACACCAGCCCTGGTTGGGGAACTGGAAAGTGAAAGGGAACAGCAAAGACAAAGAGCCCTGGAGAAACTCAGAACAGGGACAAGAGCGGGGGCTGGGAGGGGCGATGGCGTGTGTGTAATAAAGTCTACCTGGAGCGCGACAGTGTGTCTCTGCTCTTCCTTCCTGCAGGGCCCAGAGTTTGGGGGGGTCTTGGGGGAACATTGGGGTCTGTGGGAGGGAGAGGGGTGTGGACCCCTAAGGAGGGCAAGATGGCTATAACCGGGAGCTGTGTGGATTTCAGATATCAGCCAGCCTCGGTAACACTTGGTCATATACACACAAGGCCCCCCCACACACACACAGCCATACTTACAAATTGCAGCATTTGTTCCCATACACAGGACACGCGCACACGCTGCTACCCGCTGTCGCAAACATCCACACGCTCAGCCACGTGTGCACACTCACATCCGATCACGTAGAGACTCAAGAGCCAGTCACAGACAAAGGAGTACCTGCAGAAACACACTTTTCCACACCCTCTCCTTGGGGCTTATTTTTACAGCCCCTCTGAGTAGCCCTGAGGCTTTGGGCAAATCTGTCCCCCTCTGAGTCTCAGCCTGTCCCTCCCTCCAGTGCACACAACCTTCTCTGCGACCCTGTCCCCAGCATGGCAGCCTGAGCAACCAGAGAGGCCCCAGGCGGGGAGGAGCCCGCGGGGACCCGAGATGAGGCAGCAACGGGACCTTCGGGGTTTTTGGTCCAAGGGGGTTTCAAACGCTGCCTGCAGGCCCAGTCCCCACCCGCGTCCGCTCATGCCTCCGCGCTCGCGGTTTCAAATGCACCACGTTTTCCAAGAAGGAAGCCCAGAAACCCAGAGATTTCACTCCAAATCAGCCTGTATCTGGACCAAGCAGCCTCGTTGGCACCAAAGAGAGAATGACAAAACACACACGGAGGCGAGAGGTGCCACCCCAAGACGGGGGCACTTTCTGGGTCCCCTGCCAGGCCCACGGTATGTGGCAGGAGAAGAGGAGACAGCTGGGGGCTGGGGGAGGAGGGGCTCGGAGTCCAGCTGCCTGGCCGCCCCAGCGCGGCCCCTGCGGGCTGTGCGACCTCGGGCGGCCACTGAAGCTCTCGGTGTCTCCACTGGCTGGGGCGGAGCGGGGCCTGCCAGAGCTTCCTCCCGGCGCGGCTCAGGGCGCCCAGGAGGGTGTGATGTGCCCCCCTCGGCGCCAGTTCCCCCAACACGGTGAGCCTGACGGGCCTAGGGCGGCGGTTCTGGGTCCTGGCCACCCGGAATGACCTGGAGCCCGTGCCCAGCGCGCACTTCTGCAATGGTGCGGGGCGCGGCTGGCACATGCGTGGTTCCCGAAGCTTCCAGGTGATTCCAAGGTGCAGCCCGGGCTGACAACCGCGACCGTAGGGGCCTACAGAGACAGCAGACCCCAGGGCGGCGGCTTTCACGGCGGTGGCACGTCCCCACCACCTGGAGGGCCTGGGAAACGCAGATCGCTGGGCCCACCCCCACCCGCGGCGTGGTGTGCAGGTCTGGGTGGGGCGGGTTGTGTATCTAGTCCCCGGGGGACCTGGGTGCGGCGGGTGTCAGGCCCTCACTTTGAGAACCGCTGCCCTGCGGGGACGTCCGCTTTCCGTACCTGGCGCTCCAAGGCCGAGGGGCGCTTTGGCGCTTGCAAGGCCCCGGCCAGTGTCCAGAGCACGCGCAGGCCTGGGGCGCCCCCTGGTGACTATATAGGGCCCTGCAGCTCTTGTGGGTTGACATCCCTTCAGCAGCCCCGGATGAGGGGGACGCGGCACCCTATGCAAGGGGCGGGGCCTGCACTGGGGAAGGCGGGGCTTAAGTGGACACAAGGCTTTGGGAACCCGATTGTGGCGGGGATGGGTCATTTTATGGCCCTGCGCCCCTGACTTCTCCTTCTAGTATCTGATCACAAATCCGGGAGTCTCTGGGCGCCCTGTCCCCGTCTGCGCAGGCCGTGGGGCCAGCACGAGTTCAGCGTCGAGGTCCCCGGCGGGGGCACGCTCTGTAACAGTCCACGTGCCTCGTCCCCAGCGACCTCTGCACGCCCGTCTCATGGTGGCCTCACTTCTTATCTCCAGTCCAACTAGGCAGCGCCCTGTGGAGGCAGGTGGCCTGTTTTGGAGACACTGTGTCACCTGCGCCGGCACTGAGCCTGGCACGGGAGGGGCTGGCAGTCACACGTCAAGACGCCCCTATCATCACAGCCCTGGCTCTTCCCACGTCCTGTCCTGCGCTTCCCGCCCGCCTCCTCCCGCCGCACCCCTTCGCCTCCCCAGGTGCGCTCACGTGTCCCGGTCTCCCTGGGGCTTCCCAGACCACCCTGCTGACGACCCCTGCAAACTCTCTCCCGCCCTGACTCCCCTCGGGCCTGCCCTGGGGGACTTTTCTCCCCGCCGTCCTCACTGCCTAACGCGCAGACCGTGTCCTCACGCGTTGTCCCCTGCCTGCGCCGCCGCAGGGACGCTCGGGAGGGTCCGGTTTCCTGCACCTGGAATGGGAACACGGGGACCCTGGATGAATCTCCCCATGGCGCGGACGCGCTCTGGCCTCTTCCCGGCCGGGCTTCTCTCCCACGAGGGGGCGGCCGCTGCGTCCCCCGTCCCGGCGCCCCCGGCCGCTCCGGCCCCGCGCAGGGCGGACGCTGCCCCTCTGCGCGTCCCGCGCTTCCCTCCGGACCTCAGGCCCTCACCCGGCGGCCCCTGCGACCTCAAACGCTCCTCCCCGCGTCCCCTCGGCCCACTCCCTGCAGGGGGAGTATCTTTCCAGCACTTTCTTCGCCAGGCGCATCCCGGCTCTGGCTCGCCCAGTCCGCGTGGTTCACTCCGTCGGTTCGTCATTCTCCAGATGTCAACTGAGCGGCCACCGCGCGCCGGCTCGGCGCTGGGGCTGGGAACAAGACAGGCCACACCTGTCCCCAGGGAGCTGCGCCTGCGCGGCTCTGCTGCCTCTCCCCTGCACGCCCACCTGTCCCCTACCGGGTAGGACCCCTCAGCCACCGCCCCGGAGTCCTGATCCCGGGGCTGCTGCCGCTGCAGCTTATGGGGCCCAGGTGGGAGGTGGAAAGCGCGAGGCAGGGGACGCCATGTGGGGGTAGCAGCAGCGACAGCCACCGCGGTGAACCAGGGGCTCCTGGGTCCCGTAGGTAGCGGTCCCCAACCTTTTTGGCACCAGGGACCTTTTTCTTGGGAGACAATTTTTCCACGAACCGTCGAGTGGGGGATGGTTTCAGGATGATTCAAGCGCATTCCATTTATTGTGCACTTTATTTCTATTATTATTCCGTTGTAATATATAATGAAATAATTACACGACTAGGTGGGGAGCTAGGGGTGGGGGTGGGGAGGAGGCAGACGGAGCTGCGGCCTGCCAGAGTGCGTCTGGGTGGAAGAAGAGCAGACTTGGCAGGGGTTAGAGCCACAGGGGACCCAGGGGGCTCAGGGGCTCCATAGGTGTCTAAGGGCTGCAGAGCTGGAGCTGGCCCAGAGTGGGGGTGAGGGCTGGGCAGGGGACACAGTCACTAGAGAAGCAAAGGTTACTGGGTGCAAATCAGCCACAGGGCAGTTCCGGGGTGTTCTGGGTGAACATCAGCCACGAAGGTGGGGCGTCTCCCTGTGCCCTTAGGCCCAGAGCCAGAGAGAACAGGTCACAGTGCTTAATTCAGCTTTCCTAGAGGATGCATGGGGCACAGTACACAAGGAGAGGAGCCTATTTGTGCTCTGGGAGAAGTGACACTTGAGCCCTCCTCACCCACGGGCATGGCCAGAGGCCGCTGGCCCAGGGCCAGGTACCCAAATCCATCAGCCCCCAGGGAGGAGGGGGTTTCTTCCCCAGCCCCAGGGATACCTCTCCTGCTCCTCCGTGGGCTGGTCACTGTCCAGGGAGGTCCCTGCCGCCACGTGGGGGGCAGCCTCCGAGCACGGAGAAGTGTCCACATGCTGCTTCTGCACCTGGGTGACCCTGGCTTGGGCTGCAGACAGTCCGCTCTGGGCTGTGAGGACCTGCCCAGGCCCCTGCGCCTTCCAAGAAACAAGCAGGGCAGGGCTCTCCTAGCACAATGGGTTCCTCACCTCCTGGGGACGGAAATTTGGACAAGGAAACACAACACACTGCCCCAGGCAGAGACCAGAAGGTGTGAGCAGGGCGTGAGGGAGACCACTGTTTAGGGACAACATCAAGCTTGGCAGGGAAGGCTGAAGCACAGGGCACAGCAGGGACACACACACACACACACACACACACTACTGAAGCACTTGGGACAGCAGGTGCCAAGGCCCCGCAGCGCCGGCCCAGCTGACTCCAGGCAAAGGCAGGGCAGGGCAGCAGTTTCCTACGTGGGGACATTTCCTCCTCTATAAGGACAGACCCACTGACCAGTTCTGCTCCCGAGAGCCTCTGCCCCTCACATGAGGGCAGAGGTCAGGGGTCCCTCTGGCCTTTAATTCACTCTGAGAGTGAACCGAGGCCCCCCACTGTCAGCCCCAGGGGAGAGTGGGGACCCAGGGGACCATGGCCCACTCTGCCCAGAGAAGCCAGAAATCTGGATTTTATGTCAATTACTCCCAATTGAACATAAATAAACGGAAAATAATTAGAATTTTTGGTAAACTGCAGTCTGAGGGACAATTTCAGCCTGTGGATGGGGGCAGGTGGCCGGGGCCTTGGGCTGGTCATTTGTATCAGCTGCGTGTCCAGCGGGCGGGGCTGGGGTGTCGTCTCTTTCCTCCCCCTCCTCCTCCGCCCCCAAGTTGCCATCCCATACCCCCCTCCCGTCTCCTGCTCCCTCTCTTCCTCCTCCTCCTCCTCCCAGCCCCCATCTGCCTCTCAGGCTTTCCTTTCTAGAATCATCTCCTCCCCGTATCAGGGAGCTTCTGCCTTCAGTGCTCGGCTACATCCTGACACCACTGGGCGAGCGGGTGGCCCCGCCTCCATCGCAGACCCCAGGCCCAATCAGTGGGGGTAGGGGACAACAGCGGCCTTCAGCGCTGGCCAGGAGCAGGTGTCTGGAAGGGTCGGGCCCCTCCAGAGCCATAAAGAGCTCACAGGTGCCGGGTGTGCACCTGCACACTCGGGGCCGCGCCCCGGCCCCCAAAGACACCCGACTCGGGTATCCCCAACCCGCGACTCAGCCCCGGCGGCTGCTGCCTCCCGGGGCCCCTTTTCCTTTTTCCTTCCCCCATCAGGGCTTCTTCCGTCAGGATGGCGCGCGCCCGGGGACAGGCACCGCGGGGCACCTGCGTTCAGCGGGGGCGGCCTCTGCTGGAGGGGGGAGGGGACAGGGGTGGGCGGGGCGCCTGCGGGCGCCCTGCGGGCCGCGCTCCGGCGGGCCGTCCTCTTTGGGCGCCTCTAGCGGCATCTGGGGGGCAGCTTCTGGCCCCGACGAGCCTTCCTCCCGCGCGCGGACTTGGAGCCGGCGGGCGGCTGGCCCTTGGCGTCGCCGGCCTTGGCGTTGGCCCCGGCGCCCGCGCTGCCCTTCTTCTTCTTGCCGCCCGCCGCTTCGGCCTTGGCCTCGGCCCGGCTCGCGGCTTTCTTCTCCTGAGCCACGGCCTGGCCGCCCCCGCGGGTCGCGCGAGCCTTGGGCGGGGCGGGGGCGGGGGCGGCTGCGGGGCCCGCGCCGGCCTGAGCCGGGCCCCGGGGGCCGGTGCGCGCCCTCTTGGCGCGGGGCTTCCTGGACGCCGGGTCCTCGGGCTCCGACTCCTCGCTCTCCGCGTCCTCCGACTCCTCCTGCGACTCTTCGTCCGAAGCCTCCCCCGACTCCTCGCGGGCGGCCAGCAGGGCCAAGACCTCCCCGAGCTTGCCCTCGGCGTACGGGAACTGCGCGCCCTCCCAGGCCTTCTGCTTCTCCTCCGCCGTCAGCCCGTCAGCCATGTCCTGGGCGGCCAGGAGCGCCACCAGCTCCAGGAGGCCGCACTCCTCCTCGCCGTCCCCGCCCCAGCCCCCGAGCAGCCCGCCCTGGGCCTTCTTGCCCGGGAAGGGGATGTCCGGGTCGGCCAGGCTCGAAATGCACTCCAGAAGGTTCCCGTCGTCCTCGGCCTTCCTCAGGATGATGGCGTCCACCTCGAGGCCTGCCTCCTTCACCCTCACGCGGGTCCCGGAGGTGTCCTTGGACATGACGGACAAGATCTGCGGAAGGGCATCTTTTTTGTCTTTCTTGTCGCTCAAGCCCAGCGACTCGATCACAGAGGCGATTTTCAGCATCTCTTCCCGGGCCGAGGGGATCGAGGGGTCTGTGTATGCCACGATGGCCACGAACTCGGGGTTGTCCATCTCGTTTTCCTGCTCCTCGCTGTCCTGCGAGGTGGTCTCCGAAGCGTCGCTGTCCATCAGCTCCTCGTCGGGGGCATCTCTCACTGCCAGCAGGGCCACCAAGTCGGGGACATCGCTCCCTTCTTGTTTGGTGTTCAAGCGGACAGACTCAGCCCCCGGGGTCTCCTTCTCTGTCTTCTCCTTCTTGGTTTTGTCGGCGACGGTGACCAGGGCCAGGAACTCCCGGGTACTGTCCTCCTCGCCCGCGGGGCTCTGGAGGGCCCACTTCTTCGCGAGCTCCTTCGCCGCACCCTGGAGCGCTGCGTACAGCGCGCTCTGGTCCTGGTCCCCGGTCAAGTCCCCCTCCTCGATCTCCCGGATCACGAAGCCCAGGCTGTCGTCGGAGGAGTCGTCGGACTCGCTCTCCGCGGGGGTGGAGGGGCGCCCGCCCCGCCCCCTCTTCCTGCCCTTCTGAGCCAACCTGTTGCTTCTGGCCCTGTTCCTGCGACCCCGACGGCCCCTCCTAGCACTCCTGCCTGCCCCGGAAGGAGCGCCCGCCTTCCCGGCTGCCTGCCCGGACCCCTGGGCCTGGGTCTCCGAAGCGGGCGCGGTGGGTTTGTCCCCCAGGGCCTTGGACAGAGCGACCTGCGCAGGCCTCTCGTCCAGCAGCAGGCGTCTCATCTGCCTCAGGAATCGCGTGTCCTGCGCAGGCTTCTTACACAGAACCCTCCAGACCCCGTCCTTGCCCGGGATCTCCCTGGGGACGGCAGCGCGATCAATGTCCTCCGCAAACTCCAGCAGCGCGGCCCTGGCCTTCTCGCTCCTCACGGCCCTCACGTTGCGCAGCTTGAACGTGCCCAGGGGCAGGAAGGTTGGCTGCAGGACGGCTTCGATGTCCGCCTGCTCCAGGCCCTCCGGGATGCCGGTGACCAGCAGGGCCCTGCGCACGTCCACCTTCAGCTCCCTGCACCAGTCCTGCAAAAGGCTCATGGCCATGGTGGCGCCCCTGGGTGCGATCTCGGGGCAGGAGGGAGGTTCAATCTGCCAGTAACAGCCTGGGAAGGCTTAGAGTTCAGGTTCAGGTGGCTGTGGCGCGGCCGGGCGGCGGGGTGGGAGGGGCTCCAGGCCGCGGCCGCCTGCTGCGTAGCTGGACACAGTGGCCTCCCCCAGGACCCCTCCCCAGGGCCGTCCGAGGATCCGCAGGGGGCTTACGTGTCTGCTCTTCAGGGCAGGCCCAGCCGCTCCATCCCTTTGTCCCTAACACAGGCCTGAGGGGCTCGGGCAGCGGGGGCCAGTGCGGAGGGCGCACCTGGAGGGGCGTGGGGGATGGGAGCCACCGCTCGCTCGGGCTGCCGCGGAGTCTGATCGCGCACCCTCGGCTCCGCTCTCAGCAATTCCGCAGCGATGAGGTGTCTCGGACCTGCGCCTGCGCAGGCGGACCGCCATGGCCCTCCCTCCCTTCGCCCCCTCCCCGCTGGTCCTTGTCTCCATAGCAACGCTGCAGGCTGGAGCTGGGGTCAGCGTCGCAGTGGTCTGAGGACCCTCTCTTAAAGGGTCCGATGGGAGGGAGGACTTGATGGCTGGGAGCGCCACCTTCGTTGATCAGCAAACACCAAGGTCGAATTGGCAGGGGGCCAGACATCACTCAAGGAGACCGGACCTCATTCAAGGGACAGAGGCATCCTGGGGGGGGGGCGGTACAGGCTTGAGTCAGGGTTTTAATTCCCCTTCCCAGTGGACAGACAGGTGGAATTCAGGGGTCTACAGACCTAACTCAAGGGGCACTGGTGGGAACTCACAGTGGGGCCAGGAGCCTCTTGGGATACTAGCCTCATTCAGTCTGTGGGTCTCAGCATCATAGGAGGGGACCCAGGCCCTATCCATAAGCGACAGGCATCATCCTGGGTACACTGGCCTCACTTACGGGGTGTGGGCCTCACTCAGTGGGACCAGACCTCACTCCCATGTGTGTCCGTGTATTCCTAACTCTGCTTGTACAATTAAACCTGTATTTTTGTACACGGTTTTGAACGTGTATATGTGTGATTGTGACGTCAGACATGAATACTGCAAGAAAGCACGTCCCTTTTCTGGAACTGAGAGTGGGACATGTGAACAGCAGTCACAGCTACCCTGACCGTGCTTCGCCGTCCTTTGTGGGACCATTAGACTGTCCCTACCCCATGTTAATCAGGCCCTGGGGCCCGGCTGTTGAGTTTATGTCCCATCTCCTACAGCTTTCCTCTAGCCCCTCTGTAACTCTGGGAATGTTCTGGAGCTTTTCTCAGCCTCAGTTTGCTCCTCTGTGAAATGGCAACAACCCCTGTCCCTGCCTCAAAGGATTCTTATTTGGGTTAAAGGGAATGACCCGTGAAAGCACTTAGAAGACAGCCTGGCCCCCATGGGTGCTCCGAAAAAGGTGACCATGAGAAGTATTTATTAAGAACTCACCATTATAAAAGCATCTGTTATATAATAAGCAAACTATGTATTTACCATCTCATCTCGAGTTTTTTGTTTGATTTTTTTTTTTACATTTGAAGAGTTTAATTGCAAGGTTGCCATGGCAACCGGGCCATGGGCAAATGCTTACTCACTCCTCTTATTTTCCCTGCTTTGTTCTCCTCTCCCCTTCCCGATCCCCAGCTGGATGTAACTCTTCTCTCCAGAGCAGTGTCGCCCGACAGGAATCGGAAGCCAGCCCGATTTGCGGACCGCATGCGTCATGTGAAATTTTCCAGCGGCCATCTTCAATAAATAAAAAGAAGCAGGTGAAGTGAATTTAAAGAATAGATTTTTCTTTCTCCAGAAATATACAAAGGAGGGGGGGCGTCATCCCCACGTGTTATCGATATAAAATAATCGGTAATGAAATATCATACATTCTTTTGTTCATAATGAGTCCTTTTGGAGCAGCCACATTTCAAGGGCTCGACAGCCACACAGGGCCACTGGGAATTTGTTCTGAGGAATTCATTAGGGGTGTGTGTGTGTGTGCAAACATGTTCCGCACAGCTGTTATTTATAACCCTGCAAAATTGGAAAACATAACAAAAAGATAAACAGGAAGCTGGTACTTTTCTAAGTCTGGGGTGGATGGCATGGGTAAAAAATTCTTGTAAAAATGAAGATTCATAGGCCGGGTGCGGTGGCTCACGCCTGTAATCCTAGCTCTCTGGGAGGCTGAGGCAGGCGGATCGCTCGAGGTCAGGAGTTCGAAACCAGCCTGAGCAAGAGTGAGGCCCTGATGTACTATAAATAGAAAGAAATTAATTGGCCAACTAATATATATAGAAAAATATTAGCCGGGCATGGTGGTGCATGCCTGTAGTCCCAGCTACTCGGGAGGCTGAGGCAGGAGGATCGCCTGAGCCCAGGAGTTTGAGGTTGCTGTGAGCTAGGCTGACGCCACGGCACTCACTCTAGCCTGGACAACAAAGTGAGACTCTGTCTCAAAAAAAAAAAAAAAGATTCATATACTACGTATATAATCCACTCACTTAAAGTGTACAAGGCAATGGCTTCTAGTATAGTCACAAAGTTGTACAACCATCACCATGATCAATTTATTTATTTATATTTTTTATTTATTTATTTATTTTTGAGACTTATTTTATTTTTGAGATTTAGTTATTATTTATTTATTTATTTATTTTTAGACTCGCTTTTTTAGCCCGGCTAATTTTTCTCTATATATTAGTTGGCCAATTAATTTCTTTCTATTTATAGTAGAGACGGGGTCTTGCTCTGGCTCAGGCTGGTTTCGAACTCCTGACCTCGAGCGATCCGCCCGCCTCGGCCTCCCAGAGTGCTGGGATTACAGGCGTGAGCCACCGCACCGGGCCTACCATGATCAATTTAAAAACCTGTCCATCACCCTCCAAACTGCAGAGCGGGAGACTTTTTCTGCTTCCCACAGAGGCACTGTAAATGCCACCTGGCAGCCAGCCCTGCGCTTGGCCAATGACCAGGCAAGCCGCTTCATCCCCTCGTGTCTCTGTGACCCTGCTGTGATCGCCAGGTCTCGGGGATGCAAGAGGAAATCTGTGTGAGCGATGAAACAACGCCCGGGCCTGAGTGTGTTCCTGGGACCCAGGTTTCATTCTCGGTGTGGGACAGGACAGTGGGACACACTTGTGGAGGGGACACCGGCGCCCCAAGGAGCGTCTGGTTTGCAGGAGGATCCGCAGGTTACAGGGCTGAATTGTGGCACCCCAAAATTCACATGGGAAAGCCCTGACCCCCAGTGTGACCCCGGCATGGGCAGGGGAAGCGCAGAGACCACTGTGAGCCCCAGCCCTCCCTCCCCCACGCCCCGCTCTCCCCCTGCCTGGTGTTGGGGGGGGGGGCGGTCAGAGGCAGTTGTTGAGTTACAGATTCTGCACCCACACAGATGGGGTTCGAGTCAGGCCAGACCGCCTGGATTCCGATTCCAGTGCTGTGTGACCATCCGCAAGCTACGTTCCCTCTCTGAGCCTCAGTTTCCTCCATCTGTAAAATGTGCGTGATGAAAGCACTTAAACTTGCGTTCAAGCAATCTGAGTGCTTCCAACAGTGCCTGGGATAGAGTAAGAGCTATAGAAATAATAATTATCATAATTAGTATTGAATTGCAGCTCCCCACTTTCAGGGCTGAATCAATCCGGGCACGTTATTCGGTCCCAGCGGCAGCGGCGGGTCTTTCACCAGCGGCCCTGGAGCGCCCCCTGGTGGGCAACCCTCGTCCCTCCCTCCTAGCCTTCTAGGACCTGGCGACACGCGGGAGTCTCGGGCACTCTTTTCTGGGCCTGAACGAGCTGCGGGCCCGAGAATATTAGCACCTAGGCCTGGCGGGGTGCAGGGAAAGATTTCTTTCTTCACGTTGATTTTGTTTTTGTGGAGATTTTTGGTTTTGGTTTTGAGACAGAGTCTGGCTCTGTCGCCCGGGCTAGAGTGCCGTGGTGTCATCATAACTCACAGCAACTTCCAACTCCTGGGCTCAAGCAATCCTCCTGCCTCAGCCTCCCGAGTAGCTGGGACTACAGGTGCCTACCCCACCACACCCAATTTGTGTGTGTGTGTGTGTTGTGTGTGTGTTGTGGAGACAGGGTCTCACTTTTTCCCCAAGCTGGACTCGAACTCTCAAACTCCTGGCCTCAGCCTCAGCCTCAACCTCCCAAATTGCTGGGATTAGGCCGGGTGCGGTGGCTCACACCTGTAATCCTAGCACTCTGGGAGGCCAAGGCGGGAAGACTGCTCAAGGTCAGGAGTTCGAAACCAGCCTGAGCCAGAGCGAGACCCCATCTCTACTAAAAATAGAAAGAAATTAATTGGCTAACTAAAATATATAGAAAAAATTAGCCGGGCATGGTGGCGCATGCCTGTAGTCCCAGCTACTCGGGAGGCTGAGGCAGGAGGATTGCTTGAGCCCAGGAGTTTGAGGTTGCTGTGAGCTAGGCTGACGCCACGGCACTCACTCTAGCCTGGGCAACAGTGAGACTGTCTCAAAAATAATAATAATAATAATAATAATAAAATAATTGCTGGGATTACAGACGTAAGCCACAGCACCCAGCCCTACGTGCCCAGTTCTGAATGCATAACTAGAATACACATGCTTAGCAGCTGGCAGAATCCTCACATCTGTCCCCTAACCTATGGCCATTGTGGTGGGAAAGGCCAGATGGAAGCCACAGAGCTGCCTCTGCAACAGCAGAAGGAGGCTGGGCCTAGCTCCTAGCACTCTGGGAGGCAAAGGTGGGAGGATCGCTCAAGTTCAGGAGTTCAAGACCAGCCTGAGCAAGAGCCAGACCCCATCTCTACTAAAAATAGAAAGAAATTAATTGGCCAACTAAAATATATAGAAAAAATTAGCCAGGCATGGTGGCGCATGCCTGTAGTCCCAGCCACTTGGGAGGCTGAGGCAGGAGGATCGCTTGAGCCCAGGAGTTTGAGGTTGCTGTGAGCTAGGCTGATGCCACGGCACTCTAGCCTGGGCAACGGAGTGAGACTCTGTCCTAAAAAAGTAAAAGAGAGACAGAAGGGTCCCGGAGAACAACTGTGGGTTATCAGCACCTTAACCAAGTGGGGACTCCAACTGCAGCTGCTGTACCACGTGGTTTCATTACTTGAGCAAATTGACACATCCCCTAATACCTGATACGCAGCTGCTCATCTGGGGAATGTCTTTTTCCCCAACCCTGTCGGTAGAACCCACCAGAAGCAGTCTGCTTTCACACGGCAAGGCCAGCAATACACCTTCGCTGGCCCACTTTGGGGGTCGATGGACTCTCCAGCCCTGTGTCATGATGCCATCTACAGGCATCTCGATCCCCTTTCCCTTCCATAAGATGCCATGCTGGTCCGTTACATGCATGACGTCATGCGAGTTGGACCTAGTGAGCAGGAAGCAGCAATTAAACAGGACTTACTAGTAAGACATTTGGGTGTCACAGG